CTCAGTAATCTGTCATCATCTAGCTGTATTCCTGTTTGCTGTAGCACTTGTTACATAGTAACCTTGACTCACTAATGAAAATACCAGAAGCTAATAAATACTCTTAAAGTTCTAGCGGTTTGAACTTGGCCTGTGTGGGTGGTAGGGCACGATGTATGGCATGACACATTGTAAGTACCAGTACAGGATAACTGTAATAAGGTTTCATGAAATGGTCGCTTTATCTTCTTGCAAAAAGTTGACGCAAACACTCAAAATGAAATAGTTGGTAAAATCTACCATTSCGCCCTTTTGCGCTCTATTAATATAAATATTGCATCAATCAGTCAATCAGTTGCACCATGTTTTGTTTACTAAGAAAACTACTTAGTTGATAATKCGTCGTGCGAGTATTTTCAGGGGGACTCTATATGTATAAAGAGCTATAAAAATAGCAACATATAAAAATAGAAGAGAAATGCGTGTTCCAAGCGCTGTTTTCACAGTGAGATTAACGCCATTTGATCATATATTTGTTGGTGAATTTAGGGACATACCTTGCATACTGTGGTACCTACCTTCATTGATATACCACCAGCCCATCAATCGATTTAACATCATCAGGCTCACCTCAAATCATTCATATTTTAACCTATATTATTTATTTTGAGTGAACATCTGATTTTTACTACAGCAAAGGGAGATGGTTGGATTTTGGGGTTTGGAATTGACGATGATAGCCACGTATCAACACCTTGCATCATGTTCTACTCAAAAACACCTATTTACAACGTGGGATATGAATATCAAATCACTTCTTCAAAATTATCCGAATTATCTAGATTAAAAGAAAAGTGTTTAAAGAAAAAAATTCCCTAGAAATTTGAAGACAGATTTAACAGAAGAGACCGAAAAGAAAGCTAGCGTTAAACCCACGTCGGCAATTCTGAAGAAACGATTGTGATGAAATGATACATTGTTACACAGTATAAAGATCACAGTACGAAGAATCAGTACACTATACCTAGTATACAATAATATTTSTAATATTGGACACTACCTTTTCCGAGAAAGAGTTGTTGTCACATACTCCGCTAATCATAAATTCCAAGGTCTCTTTTTTGCTGGGTTTTAAAAGCAGCATTTTTATTAAGGCGTTATCGTTCGGTCTTGTGGGTGGTGGAAGTCAAATATGTGAAATAGAATAAATACTGTCAAGTTATTAAAAATTCAAAAAAAAGAAAAGAAATGAACCTTCTGTCAAGCAAAAAGGTGTGCAGAACTTAACTTTCGAAATGGAAAAGTGGATCATTTCATTGACTAAACTACGAAGTCCTAAAATATCTGAGAAAACAAAATCATGTCAAAATGATATCAAAAAAAAGGAAACGAACGAAAGATTCCTAGAAATTCGTACAATTTAGCATTAGTGGTAATCGATACCTGTTGACAGTCTCTCTTGTAGAAGATTGAAGGTACTTCAAAAAGGMAGATATACAAGTGTATATTACACCCTGTCTAGAACGATCTAAATAAATACACGGTCACCTTGACATTGCAACAACGAATGGGCGTGTACCAGCAATGCGGGAAACGACTGACCTAGCAAAAACTGAGGTAAACCGACCTTCAAACATGATTACAAACACAACCTCATGAAAAACGGAATCGTGTGAAAGTATTGCATCTAATGTCAACGGTTACTATGTACAAGCAATGTTTATTATTAAACAGATAAGCTCTGGTCTATAAATATCTCATGTCTAGTCGTATTTTTTTAGCAACTGAGCACCACTTATGGTAATAGTATCTCTAATTCCATTACCATGGGAATATCAAGGTCATAAACTAACGCTATGTCAGCAATAAAGGATGAAATGGTAATTGTTTAAAAGTGTTTTCGCTATAATATCTGCAAGTTTTAAATGATTTGAGACTTTAAAAATCTTGAAAATCGAGTCCCCTCCTAACTTCGAAACAAGGTAGGAATACCGAATATCAAATAAAGCAATCTTCTGGACCAATCAGCGCGCAGTATGGATCACTCTACAGTATCTTTCCCATCGCAACTTTGAAAAGTTGTTTTTTGTTCGTTAATTTTGTTTTGTTTGGTTTTGCATTGAAGCGAGACTACGAATGACATGCAATAATAGATATGCATGTGACTGATGCAAGCACCGGTCTACATTTCTTTCGTGGTTACATGCAAAGGCATATGGTTAAGGCAACTGTGAAGGATTTTCGAAATTACTAGATCTGTAAATACAACTTAATAAAACTTTCATACATTATTTATTATTGCTATTTATCAGTATTTCTTAGTAAAAACCTATCTTTCTTGACGAATCTCATGGCTCATGATAGCTTGGCTTTCTTGCATGGTGACGCGACATCCTCTCCACTCGTTTCAATCTAAATAAAAACTACATTMAGTTCACGACGTCGTAAAATCTGTTGTATTGTGTTTTACTGTGTTATCTTCTGTTGTGTTATGTTCTATTGTGTGCTGTTGTGTTGTGTTGTATTGTGTTGTCTTCTGTTGTCTTCTGCTGTGTTCTGTTGTGTTTTCTGTTATGCTGGGCTGTGTTCTCTTGTTTTGTGTTATGGTGTGTTCGGTTTTGTTGTGTTCTGTATCGTTGTGTTCTGTTTTTTGTTGTTGTATTGTATTGTGTTCTGCTGTGTTGTGTTTTGCTGTGTTTTCTTGTGTTTTGTTTTGTTCTGTTCCGTTCTGTTCTTTTCCGTTGTGTTGTTTTGTTGTATTCTGTTTCGCTGTTCTGTTCTGTTTTGTTTTGTTTTGTTCTGTTGTGTTGTTTTGTGCTTTGATTTGTTTTGTTTTGTATTGTGATGTGTTGTGTTGAATACTGTATAAAGAGATAATCGATGATGCCCACCTTTGGTGAAAGTAGCTTGAATTGAAGGAACGAGTTGTGAGTTGCAGTAACTTCCACTTTGATTTCACACGTGACTTGATCAAACATTCGAAACTTGACATCACGAACGGTTAACGACGGCTCCTGTATAAAACAGTGAGAAACGTTTATCGAATTAAATTATTCTTTAGGTTGTTGACAATAAAAATGAAAATATCACTTGTTGCGAGTGTTCATAGAAAAAAAAAGATTTTCGAGCGGCAAGAAATACATTTTTTTTTGAACGAGTACACCCATAACTGACGAGAACAAATTGGCGGGAATTTTTTTAAGACGCGCGTGCGCATAAGGGTTGTGAATTTTTCACAGGTCTATCTTCGCTAGTAAAAAAAAGTATTTATTCAAGTAAATATATTAATACACTTTGTAAAGTGAATGAACTTACTTCTTCATCAAATACAATATCTTTGTCTGATACACCTTGTTGGGTGATGTACACAGTCCCTTGAAGTCCGTATTTAGGTATGAGTACCTGGAGCGCATTTTTACGTATAAACAATACGAATGCGTTTTCTGTCTTGGGGTTTTTCTTGAAAAACAGCTAGAGAATGACAACAGGCAATCGTTATTCAACAAGAAATAATTGATTAACTGACTGAGGTACTAAATAGCCTAAGTCATATTTCGATACATATTCGATACGCATTCAGCCTATATAAATAGCCTAAGT